TTTACAATACAAATGAAATAATAAAAGTAATTTACATAAATATTTTTGAATGTTAAGGTATATAAGATATAAGGAAGGAATCGATACTTTATGTGTTTGTAAATTTTAAAAGTAAACATCCAACATAATGATATTTCTTTTATCGCGTGTTTATTGTAGGTAATCTTTTTTTTTTCGACTTCCGACTTTAAACCAGTAAAATAGTTTTAATTAGGCATGTCTACAAGCTCGCGAAAACCGGAGAAGATACAAATTATCCAACGTTTGGGAAATGTTGGTCTTAAGCTGTTACTTAACTTTGTCAACTGATTGCGATTATTTAAGGACAACTAGCTGATACCCGCGGATTTGCCAAGAAAAATGTTTATTTTTCCTACTGTGTCTGGTAAATTTTCTAAAAGTAATAAAACAGTTTCCCGTGGGAGTGACATGATTTTTCGGGATAAAATTTAGCCAGTGTTACCTCTCCTGACCTAAAAATATCTATTAAAAAACATTACAATCCGTTTCTTCGTTTCGAGGTAAAAAAAGGACAAAGCAAACATTTCAACATTAGTACTCTCATATTACGAACCGTTTTTTTTTATTTCACTTTCACTCCATCTGTTAAGCGTGCTTTTGAATACTTCTAGTAAAATTCCTAACAATGCTAGAGGAAGCAAAATATGATCATCTTCAGGAAGTTGTCTGTTGTCAGCGGAGCGTTTAGACAACGTTAGGTTCGAGGTTTCAACTATAAATTGTCAACTTCTTTTTTTTATGAAGGAAGTATTGCTGGTGGCCCGGAGGCCTTTCCAGTTTCACCAGGACAGGTGGGTGAGCAAAGGCTCAGCCAGGAGGCGTGGGGCTTACTAACAGTTGCCCGAGCGCCTCCAAGGAAACCTAACAACTCAAGAGCAGCTACTCCGCGAGTGAATCTGCTACCGGATCCGAATTGCGACCCATTGAGAAGATCCGGCGAGAAACTGAGCGGGCTGATGGATGGGTTAGGTTGCACGACGAACCCTTGCCGAGTTCGACGAGTATGGTTACCGGGGTCCCTTAGCCGGCTCCTAGTGTTAGAGCTGAAGGCGTCTAATGCAAGGGTTATTGGATCTGATGGAACCGTAAGCACGTGTCTAGGGTGTCGACGGTGACTGGCTTCCGCGTGGGCAGGATTCGGAGAGTAGTCGGCGGCGGCAACGATAAGGCGATTATCAAATTATTAAATTTATTTTCAATGTCAGATGTTTGTGATGTGGCAGTACTTATTTAAATAAATAAATAAATATCATGACGCATAGCCTTATCGAAGTAACGATCCGACGTTGACATTAGGTATTTACGGGTCGATTCGAGGCCCAGGTCGTCGCGTAGGTCGACGTTCCTGAAGGACCACGGTACTCCGACGGCTAACGCGCAAAAATCTAATTGGAATGTGTTTATGTTTATGCACCACACTCGCGTATGTCATGATGGGTCGTTTGCAAGTTTGTAAAGTGTCACCTTACTCCGAAGGGACATTTTACTCCCCTTACAAATCATAGGATAAAGTCTGCCGAGAATAAACGCGGCGCGGTCGCGGACAGATTTTATGTGCGGGCGGAATGTCATCGATGCATCCAGGATGACTACCAGGTACTTGACCTTCCTGGCCCAAGGTATTGATTCGCCTAAGAGGGTGATCAGGGGCAATTGCCAACTACAGTTGACTACTGTCAAACTAGCCGTGCGGGCTCACGATATGCCCTACCACCAGTAAATGCTGGTTTGCATTACTATTACCTTACGGTAAGGTACAACGAGAACGCTGCTGCTCGTCCCAATGACTTGTACGACACTCACGGGAAGTGACGTGGTTTTGTTATTATAAGCCAAAATCCACAGAAAAAAGAGAAAATCGAATTTAGGTGTGTTTATAATTATTTACCTATTTTTTTCTATATGGTTAATAATTACGTGCATAATTTATAATCCTCTTTATCCACTGTTCTTTGGTAATTTCGATAAGTCACTTAAGCGCGAAGTTTCGTTTTTTTTTTTGTTGAAGATTCAGACAGTGACTGAGTCGTGGCTTTTTCAAAAGTATTGATTGGGTAAATTCATAAAAACATGAGTGTTTTGCAGTGAATATAACTATTGAACTTTTTGTAGCTTCTTTTATTTTCAAAAGCGTGAAAGACGCACTAGTATTTGAAATTTATATTTTTATTTACGAAAATGCAAAAAAAATCTATCATTCAATGTTTACCTGTTTTTTGTTCATTTTTATGACAGTAGGTATTCTATAGGGCGAGCCCTTGGGTTATTCATAAGGCCAACGGGTCACGGAATCGCGCCCACACTCAGATTCCGGTTGCCAAGTAATAGTTTATAATATTTATTGAGCTTGATTCGTACGAGTATACTTAATAAAGCACAACAGTTTATTTAGCATCGGTTTACTTATATCTACTTATGATTTTGTTCTTCTTATAGAAAGCCAATTATATTAAGTTCAAAATATGTAGGTATATCGGCTACTTATGACTTCCGGTGGTAGATTCTGCGAAGCACTGCTCTTGCTAGGGTCAGTGTTAGCAACTCTCCGGTTTGAGCCCCGCGAGCTCACCTACAAACGTTAGGGCGAAGCTGAAATAGCCTCTCAAGGCTATCAGCATAGGTAGGAAAAAGAAAACAAAAGAAAAAAAACTTATGACACTTAGGTGATTAAAACGGTTTTTTCTTAATCATATTTTGATGAGATATATTTTTGGAGGTAATTTACCGTTTTCTTGACTACAAATGCAGGTTAGCTACCATAACGCATGTCTCTGCGTGTCGAATAATACACTTGGCATACAAACAACTACATAAAAGGATTGAGGTTTTGCGATTAAAAACTTGGTTACTTGTGTTGTCACTCGACGATTCATAGCTCATTAAACTACTTATAGACTAAACAATAAACCATGTTTTCAATACCTATTCATAATAAATTGTTAACGAATGAATATTTTAAAATGACTCATTTATTTTAAAAGGTTACGAAACTCATTTACGTTTTGTGAAGTATGTCCATTGTACTAAGCTTATTATCTACTTTTCGTTCTAGTATTTTTTGAGTGATCTCTGAAAAATAAATGGACATAAAAATAATGTAACTTGGTAGACTTATACACTCTTAACTAGCTTTTTTAGCTACTTTTTATTTGTTAGATGCGTCCTGTCGCGTCGTTTCGTAGGCATGTGCTTTTTACTTATGCAGACTTTGTATTGGCCTTGTAAAATCTCTAATACCAACTTTAAAAAAGCATGTTTATGCCTTGATCCGCACTAAATAAATAAATAAAAAGGCTTAATATATTAATGACAATACAAATAAGAGATAGATCTTGGGAATACCATTACAGATTACTTTTTTTTGACAAGTGCATCGTTGCTTTGTCATTTTTATTTGTTTATTTATGGAATAAATTACGATGTACTTTCGATTATGTTTTGTGATTTCAAGGGAATAATTGACAGAAAAAGATTTCAACGCGCCATCATAAACACTTTGAACTCGCTTAGCATTTAATTCTTTAGTAATCAAATACTTTTCAGTGGTCATAAGTATAATACTGTTACTGGTGGTAGGACCTCTTGTGAGACCGCACGGGTAGGTACCACCACCCCGCCTATTTCTGCCATGAAGCAGTAATGCGTTTCGGTTCGAAGGGTGGGGCAGCCGTTGTAACTATACTGAGACCTTAGAACTTATGTCTCAAGGTGGGTGGCGTATTTACGTTGTAGATGTCTATGGGCTCCAGTAACCACTTAGCACCAGGTGGGCTGTGAGCTCGTCCACCCATCTAAGCAATAAAAAATAAATATTATGTATATATTATCGTGAATGTTTAAACGCTTAAAAAAATAAACTTATATCATTATTCTAATGCCGCTACGATTTTGATCTAATATATCAAAATGGGTGGAACATTCATTACAAATTCTAGGGACTCGTATTCAAGTCATTGTGTGTTTGTAAAAAACCTTATACGAAAACATTCTAACAAAAACAAAGCACCGGGCCTTGACAATATATCTCTTACAACTAGCACAAATGTAACCTCATCTCATTAATAATTCATTCTTCCAGCATCCGTGATCGCAATGCTACACGCATAGATAGGTACTATGTAAATACGGTTATGTGTACGTGAACAATGGATGAGTAGTAGATTGTATCATCAAATGTTCGCCTTGATTTACAACCGACGGGTGAAGTGTCCGCATAACTCCATGTCTTTATATAGTTAGCGTAATAGCTGTAATCATAATATTATTAGCAATTATTACACTAATTTGTCCTTTTCCGAAAAGTGTTTACGCAAATGTCCATAAACGTTTGTTTTTACTGGTGGTAGGACCTCTTGTGAGTCCGCGCGGGTAGGTACCACCATCCCGCCTATTTCTACCGTGAAGCAGTAATGCGTTTCGGTTTGAAGGGTGGGACAGCCGTTGTAACTATACTGAGACCTTAGAACTTATATCTCAAGGTGGGTGGCGCATTTACGTTGTAGATGTCTATGGGCTCCAGTAGCCACTTAACACCAGGTGGGCAGTGAGATCGTCCACCCAGCAAAGCAATAAAAAAAATTAAAAAAAAGTTTTAAATGAACGTGCAACTTCCCTGAAGTCAAATAACATGCGAATTATATGGAAAGAAGTTGAGGTAATTTTTTTTTTTGCCAGGAGTGATCGATAAATCTACGACCCATTCAATAGTTGTTGGCAGCGACGCTCTTGAACATTGGCAATTGGCATAATTAAGTCGTTGTAAAGATATTTAAAGTATAAAAATTGAAAGTTGTAATATTTTAGTAACTTTTTAAGCTTATTAAGCCGAGAGCGATTAAAGCTGTTTTACATAATTAAATTATTATAATATTTAAAGACGATAATTAATTTCCATGATCAATTAGGCATTTGTAGGTATATAAATTTGCGTTAGATTTGATAGAGAGAAAAGTAAAAGTAACTAGAGTTAAAAATTTAAATAACTTTTTTTTATATTGAAAACCTTTTTTATTTTCATACTTTATTTTAGAAAATGACTATTAACTTATGTTCATTCACACGAAATATCACAATGTCTTAATTCAATCAAGTCTTGTATTTTCTAATGATTGCAATCTTATGCAGGCAACTTCATATTCTTTTTCGAAGCTGTCCTAGCCTCCGTAACCTGAAATATAAATACATGTATCATAATTAATATGTCGTGCAGGTTTTATACGTTTGTTTTATGTGTAGGACAACCTTTACGAGTATACCAATTCATATTATGACTTAGATCTCATGTCTCAAGATGCATTCACGTTGCAATGGCTTTACGCCGACATCGAGTAGGTTGTGAGCTCCTCTGCATAATTAGTTAGTAAAAATTCAATCGACTCCTTACTTCAAGACAAATTATAATCGGATTTTTTTTTGTTTGGCGCGTTTTTGCTGTGAAAATTTCATTCGCATTATTGTGATTTAAAGCACGGGAATTTTTTTGACTTGTTGTCCTAAGTATTCACCTTATGATGACGTCTATAGGCTCCGATAATCTGTTAGCTTAAGGTGAGTTGTGAACTGGTTTAGCCATTTGGCGGATAAAAAATACTAGATGATGATGATAGATTTTTTTTGATAACGCCATCTTGTTGTGTCTTTAAAGGGGTTAGTTACCCTCAATTAAGAAAAATAGTATTATTATTCGCCAATAGATGTCGGGAAGAGTTGATTATTGAAAACACGAATAAAACAACATTTTCTGAAAATAAATCGTAGACAGAACGATTTATCGCCCCCGAAATCCCCTGTATACTAAATTTTATGAAAATTGTTGGAGTCGTTTTCGAGATTGTATATATATTAATATACAAGAATTTCTCGTTTAAAGGTATAAGATTTTAAAAGTGCTTTGGATTCAATACTTTCGGTCCTAATATTGTACCAATGCGTGATAATTATGCGATGACCACTGTAGTTTTAATTTTACCTACATACCTGCGGGCAAATACTGTCTGTGATCTATTGTCATATTGAGCAATGATTGTTTCTTTAATTATTATTACGTGTTGTTATGATCGAAAATCATCTTACCTCCTTTTGTGGGAAAACCAGCAGACGCGTGAGCTGAAGCAGTTGCATGCGCTGAGCCGCCATATCCAAAGGCTCGCGCGTCACTTATTGCACCTGCAACACTTTTTGCTGAAGCACCCGCAGCAACATTCTGCCCACCATTCCAACCATTTAAGTGGCCAGATTTCGAGTAAGCTAGTCCGCCAGCATGTCCAAGGTTTGAACTACTATCGTGGGAACCTCCATTAGAATCGCAGCCGCCTCCACAACCTCCAGAAGGTTTATCTTCGTGACCATGAATCCCAGTTTTCCCGTTGTAATTTCCATCAAATCCAGCAGACGCTGTAGCTGAGGCGACAGCAGCAGCATGGGCAGTTGCCGTAGATATAATTCCTGCTTTGGGATTCCCTATTTCTCCGTTTGATTTACCAAAACCAGCTTGAAAATCTGTAGAAGATCCGACACCGCTTGTAGTGCCGCTACCTAAAGCTTTATCACTGCCTTGACTTGTAGCAAATTGNCCGTTGTAATTTCCATCAAATCCAGCAGACGCTGTAGCTGAGGCGACAGCAGCAGCATGGGCAGTTGCCGTAGATATAATTCCTGCTTTGGGATTCCCTATTTCTCCGTTTGATTTACCAAAACCAGCTTGAAAATCTGTAGAAGATCCGACACCGCTTGTAGTGCCGCTACCTAAAGCTTTATCACTGCCTTGACTTGTAGCAAATTGACTTCCTAATGCATGATTTGTTCCTAAGCCAGAATGTTCGAGCTTTCCATGATCGTGAGGCTGAAGAACGCCTGGTGGTCCTCCGAAACCTCCTGCATAAGCCACAGCTTCAGCTTGTGCTGTAGCACCGCTTGCAGCAGCAGTTGCATGGTTGTCACAATTTCCTGAAGAACAGCTACTGGGAGTTTGTTGTGATGTTACAGGTTTACTAACAATTATGTTTTTAATTGGTACTTTAAATTCGTTTGGCTTTAACAGGCCGGATGGTCCACCGAATCCTCCATTATACTGTGGGAGCTCTTTGTCAGTGGAAGCAGGCTTATGATCAATATGTGAAGTAGTCCCAGCTCCAACTTGAATATTAGTTCCAAGTACATTATTGGTTGGCAATCTATTGGAGTCTGACAAAGTTCCAAAGTTCACAGGATGGGAGTCATGGGGTTTGACAGCTCCTGTAGATATTCCAAAGCTGCCAGAATAAGAAGGAAGACTTGGATTCCCACTGTGAGTAGGTTTTACTTGATTGTGTACAACTTGTTGGGTACCGACAGCATTTGGTGTAAGTAAGCCTGATGGTCCACCAAAACCACCAGAATAGGTGGGTTGATTTTGATCTGTTGATGAATCTGCATTTGGTTTTTGAACTGCATTAGGTTTTGTGTTAATACCAGTTGAAACGCCAGCATTAGAAGACGCACCGACATTTGAATGAGATAGGCTATAATCATTTGGTTTCAAAAAGCTTGTTGTTGTACTTCCAAATCCTCCGCTATAATTTGGAAGTTTGGCATGATTAGCAGAGGAAGAGGCACAATTCGGCGTATTGCAATTGGATAAATTATCAGTATGAGTATTGTAAAATGGCGTAGATGGTACGATATTTGTTTGTTGATAGGGTATTGTAGGTTGTATTGGTGGGGCAAATCCAGGTTTTAAAACAGCGTTTCCAGCACAATCTCGTGTAGTGCAAGTCGGAGTAAGAAGTACTGTTGAAGGAGGAGTTTCGTGAGACAAAAAATATTGTGGAGTTCCTGGATGTTTAGGAACTGTGGCAAATGTTGCGCCATTTGATTGATATGGTGGTAAAGTAGGTGGTAGATTGGCGTAGTTTGGTGGAGATAAAGCGGCACCAATATGAGATGCATAATTTGGACCACTTGTACTAGATCCACAATTTGCTGTTTTACAAGGAGTTATAGAAACTCCGTGTTCGAATACAGGTTTGTTATCTATTTGCGTTGCTTCAGCTTCTTTGGCGCAATTTGGGGTATTACAAGCAACAGTACCAGTAGGATAATGTGTTGGAGAGTCTTGTATAGCTGTTGGGTATTTGATGAGGGTAACATCTACGTTGGTTGGTTTGTTATGTCCGGTGCATTTCCCAGAAGCACAACTTGATGAAATACCATCCAGTGATAAGTTACTGTTGTCGAATGGTGATTTGTCATTTGTTGGTTTGTTGAAAACAGATTGAATAGGCACATTATAACTAGATGGTTTACTTGCGGTAACAGTATTTTGTGCCGGATTACAATTCGGAGTCGAACAAGCAGAGCCGATATTTGGAGTCGTCAAATAAATTCCAGGTTTATGGACCCCCGGAGCAAAACTATCACCAGGTGATGCACTGGAGTCGTAATTGTATGTTTGACAGTTCGGCGTATCGCATTTTGTATCATGAAAACCTTGGTTCAAATTTAAGGTGCCAGTCGTTTCAAGTGGTTTGGAATTGTGATCGATATGAGAGTGCTTACAACTTCCATAGTCACAATTGATGCCACTACCAGTTTCAGTAGATCCATGGTGATAAAGAGATGGTGAAGATGTTTTATCAAAATTCGAATTCGATAAACTTTGGTTCGGTTTTGATTTAACAGGTATATCATAAGAGTTGGGTGCTTTCGTTTGTTCGTAATTAGTTGCACACTGGCCTGACTTACAGTTTTCCACATTTGTCAAAACTTTTTCGGGAGTTGAATTACACTGCCCAGAGCCGCAATGTTTTTCAATATTCAAATTGTCTGATGTGCTTTGTGAACATTTACCAAATTGACATTTTGTATCAACGGTACTGCCACTACAGCTGAGACCTTCACATGGAGTGTTTACACTAAAGCAATCCTTTCCAGAGCATGGAAGTTTATTTCCCCCATTATGGTGCGTGTGCGAGCCACTTGGGATAGAAGGGTGAGATGATACTGCTGCGTTGTTGTCGTCGTATGATGATTCGATACCGTTGACTTTGCAATTACTTCCAGAGCACGGAGTATTGTTTCCAGAATCACTAAGACTATGTGTACCACTTAAGTTGTCAGAGTGCGATGACCCTGAAGCAGTAGCACTCCCATATGATGAACCAGCTCCAGTGGTTCCACAGCCGTTTCCAGAACACGGAATTTTATTTTCCACATTTGTAAAGGTTTGTGGGCCACTTACGAATCCATCGTAGGATGACCCTGGTACGTTGTTACCACTGTATGATTGACCAGTTCCGATGCTCCCACAGCCGTTTCCATGGCAAGGTAATTTGTTTTCTGGGCCACTGTGACTTACAGAAGCGCTTAAAGCATCAGTGTGGGATAATCCGGCAGAGTTCGCAGCTGAGTTATATGTGTGCCCGGTTCCAACGATTCCAGGTCCATGGTTGCCAAGATCGGTATTAATGCCATTTTGTTTGCAGCTTCCTGATCCGCATCCATTAGCCTGCCCAGTTCCAGAAAAACTAAAAGAACTTGAACTCGAGCTAGAACTAGCGCTAGATGATGAGAAACTAGATGAAGATGATTTTGAGAAACTACCAGAGAAGCCACCACCCGGGGGTACAGAGAGTGGTAGTCCGGTTATGCCACCAATCGCTCCAGCTACGGCCCCTGACTCAGCTAAAACAAAAACGGATAAATAGTATTATTTGAATAGTTTCGTACTATAAACTATAAATAGCTAGATCAGGGCTTTTTTTCTCGAATACCCCCAGTAAAAAAACATAAGTTTGAGCCATTGTCGATAAAAAATGTACAGATTTCATGAAGAAGTTCAGCAAATCGAGGCTATATATTAGCTGCCCCTTGTTCACTGCCAATGCGTGATTCATACACGAACTGATAAGTCAGCCGTCATAAATTTTGTTGCTAAGTGTATCCCCTATTATTAAGTAGCTAACTCACACGGATATCATATTTTTTGATAGAATATGCGGAATTAATACGCATATTTGATAACCAACGTAATAATTCATATTAAAAAACGCGGTGATAAAACAAGCTTAAATAAAAATTCCGATATTACAAAAGGTCAAATTAACTATTTTACTGAAAAGAGTAGGTAATTTCGGATCTTATTAATGTTATAGTTTTGTTCGTTACTGAATATAAAAGTAATTAATTTTTACGATAATGAAAAACAATTTAAATTATTAAAATATGTTCATTGCACAGTAAACAAAAACTGGCAATTAGGATCGTTTAATTTTTTTATTAATATCAAGTATTAACGAAGTCGAAGACGTCCATTTACTTGCCGTAGTTTAAGCTTTTTTTTATGGTTGAAGGAGGTAGTTCGAGCTTGTAGTAGGCCACAATCTTTCTTAGTAATTATCATCTATTATCTACATATATTTAAAAAGAAAAAACAAAACAGTTCAGTAAATTTTCTTCAGTTTATCAATCGATTTTCCTTTTTTTTTACCTTTAGTGTTATCATTAAAAATATTAATATTAAAATAAAGAGAAAGGATTTCAATGACAAAATAAAAGAGAAAATAGATCACATAAAATGAAGGCAAATATATATATATATATATATTATTTTTCCCTACCTATGCTGATAGCCTTGAGGGGCTATTTCAGCTTTTCCTTGACGAGTAGGTGAGCTCACAGGACTCAAGCCGGGTGTGTTGTTAACACTGGCCCTAGCAAGAGCAGTGCTTCACAGAAGCTACCACCGGATCGGAAACGCGACCCACTGAGAAGATCCGGCGAGAAACTCAGTGGGCTGTGTCTATGGGTAATTTACTTGTCGAGCCCTTTGTCGTAAGCGACGGGTTCGGCGAGGACGGTGACCGGGGCAAGGCAAATATTAGAGTGTATTTATTATAAATGATTGACCGTTAGACGAATACTAGGATTAGATCCGTATTTAACCGCGGATCTTCAAATTAGAAACCTCTAAAATATAGGCATCATCGAAAACCTTGTAGTTAGATGGTTTTATTTATATTGCTAGAAAATCCTGGAAGTCGTTCAGACGAGCGATGTGCGAACATATTAACCCTGAGCAAACACACAACTATTTTAAATTTAATAGCTTCATATGACCTGAAGGCCTATTCCGTAAAAAAATCTATTTGAAAACAAAAAAATAAAACCCACCTTTCGCTGATGCTCCCCCTTTAGTTCCGTATCCATGAGGAGTCCCACTCACTAAACTCACTACAGTTAAAATATAATAATACTTGAGCTCCATCGTCGTGAAGCCTCTAAAATACAATGTTAATATTTTGTTGTCGGTCGCTTTTATAAAGCGATGCATAAACATAGTTCATATCTCGGCAAAAAACCTGTCGTCATTTATAGCGAATCGGAGGTTGTATTCGCGTGGGATGACGTATCCCAGAGTTCATTAATGGCCAACAAGTAAAGCACCGCATTGTAATTGTATGCGGTGGCAATTCACGAAATTTACGAATAACGAATCTAATAAATAGTATTGATATGCTGCCGTGTAGCTATGTTAACAAACTTGAGGGGAAAACCACTGACACCACCGCGTTCCTTAGTTTTACACCTCCGGTTGGTGTTCTTTGTTTTATTTAGCGTGTAATGTGAAATGTATGTTTTCAAGGCTCAATTAGATGGATCGAACATTTCTAGAAATAAGAACAAGTTTTTTCATCACCATTCAAATGTAAAGTATTCGAATTTGTTTTTATTATTGCAGTTGATAAGTGAAATTTTTTATTGGTGGTCCTACGTACCTACCTACGTCTAGACCTACGTCTTGCGAGTCCGCACGGGTAGGTACCACCGCCCTACCGTGAAGCAGTAATGCGTTTCGGTTTGAAGAGTTACTGAGAACTAGAGATAGATTAGGACTCATATCTCAAGGTAGATGGCGGCATTTACATTATAGATACCTATGGGTTCCGGTAACCACTTAACATCACGTGGGCCGTGAGCTCGTCCAACCACCTAAACAATAAAAAAATAAGAAATAGCTCACAGCCCATTTGATCTTAAGTAGTGATCGAAGCCCATAGACATCATAAGGTGAATGTCGCCACCCACTGTGAGACATTTCACTTCCCACGCGTGTCGTAAAAGGCGACTACAGGGTTTCCTTGAGAATGGTCAGCAATGTACTCTGTGTAATATTGCTATTACCAACCGGCGTTTGCTGGTGGTAATGCGTATTCTGAAACCACACGGGCACAGGCAACTACGACAGATCTACACCGCTGCCTCCAGCGTGTAAGTGGAAGTCCAGAGATTACGGTGACCACTCACCAACACGTGGACCACATTGTGGTTTGCATGCAAAGTCAATAAACATATGCAAACTAGTTTAAATATTTGATTAATTAGGTATATATAAAATAATAAGTTATGAAAGAACTAGCACACCTATGGCTGTTCGTTTTTGTATTGGAGCCTCAAAAATATCTGCTGCAGATTGGATACATTTAGATAAAGTTAAAATATCTATAAAATTGTATTCTCAGTAATATAACACTTAAGTTATTGAAATATAAGTAGATACGCTACCGACACGGGCATATTTAGGATGAGATTTATCTTCAATATATAAGTACCTACGTAAAGAAATAATAGTTAAGTACCATTCTCGAATGCTCCAAATTCCGTGGGCGGCCAAGAGGACAAATAAATCTATCCTGGATCAGCTTCGCATCCGAGTCACGCTCTCAACAATCTGTTACCAGAGGATCCTCAGCTACTTCGGTCATATTGCCCGCCGACAGTAAGATAACTAGTACATAGTCATTGTGACGGGCAAAGTAGAAGAAAAGAGACCCCGTGGCCGATTACCTAGCCGTTGGTGTGGTCAAATAACCGCCCTAACTAGGCTGCCAGTCGCAACCGTCATTCGAGAAGCTGAGGACCGGACGAGATGGAAACAGCTCACGAGACAGACCACGGTCAAGTTTCAAGGACACGACCTTCAGCAATAAAGAAAGCGACGAAGAAGAAAGACCATTCTCTAAACTGTTTGTCAAACAATTATTTATATTTTATTAACTTTTACTTTAAATTATTAACTTTTATTTTATTTATTTAGTATGTAGCTTTATTTATTTAGTAGAGCTTTAGTGCCATCGCTTTTTATGTCTTTAAACAAACGAGAAAATATAATCCATAAAACAATTCTAACCAATGACATTCTGTACGTGTTTTTTTTTATAATTACGACGAGCATACGGCCCATCTGATGGTGAGTGGTTACCGCTCATAGACGTCAGCAATGCCAGGGGTAGAGCCAAGCCGCTGCCTGCTGTTTAATACTCTCCACAAGCCTCGCGTTGGTCACTCAACTTCTAAACAACTGGACTAATTCCGATGATTTATTTTGTCAAAAATAATTAATATTGTAATACATTTTATTTTGTATTGGGACGCATTCACACAAGACATGATTCAGACTATGTTACTGCATTTTGTGCAGGTACGTATATCATACACGACACAATATGCAAATAATTTTGCATATAATGTCGTGTTCATTATTCGCACCATCCGCGTTGTAATGTGAAACATGTTACTTATTTCTCACAGCAATCGTAATCGACATTGATACCGAAAAAACATTTTGCAGGGTCCCTTTTACATTCCTTCAAACAAATTTTTTTTTAGAAAAATGCACGAGCTTAATCTTATTTATTTATGAATAAGTAAATATAAATCATAATCTGAATAAATAAATCTGACGAAGCGTGGTGGTTGCGGATAATAATATCGACGCTTGAAAGGCAAACGTGACTAAGCGCCAATGCGTGAACTTTACAGTAGACTAATTTAAAGTTGAAATACCTGAAAACAAAATTTATTTTAACGAATCTAGCTGTAGTAGAATCTAGCTAGTAGCTGTAGGATTGAAATGATTTTAATAGACCTAGAAATATATTTTTTTTGCGCATCGAATATGGTTATTGCCTATCATTTATGTACAAATCAGCTATTGTCGCTTAGTCACTTTTGCCTTTCAAGCGTCGATATGTACTTTTAGGTTATTAAAAATAAAATAATAAATATAAAAATCATAATTAAATGTAAATAGAGTTGCAACTAAAACGAATCAAACAAATAAAACATAAAGAGTTTATTACATCCTAGACTCGGAGAATTCAAGGTAAAAGTTGTTAGTGGCATTTTAACGTATCCTGCTGAACGCTAAGAAGATAACAATGTGGTAATGTCATCAATCTACGTCGGTCATAAATATCGTTATAAGGTAAACCTTAATGCCGTAATATAATGTAATTGTCGTGACAAAGGGTAAACTGGCTGTTACCGCAGGCGCGTGTACTAGCATCGCACATCCGGGTGACGTTCCAGTATATCGATACATCACAGTTCTTCATACACTAGCCAAGCAAGTCGTCATGAACTTGACATTGGTCGCAAGCTGTGACTTAAGCAACTGATCTTCAGATGTTTGATAATAAACCTGTAGTATTTTTTCTGAGAAATGAGCATGGATTTATTAAATTATTATATATAACTGGAGTTGTAAAAATAGCATCCCACAGGCATTAAGAAAACTTTATATCATTAAATTTAGTTTAAAAATGATTTCTCAACGGATTCAAGACAGATAAGTCATTTATTATAGATAAATATTACATACTTTAACATAAAATTAGAATTTTCAGCCATCTATGGATTTAAATAACAGTATCCACTTACAATCGCGTCGGCTGTAATATGACAATAAACATAATCTTTCCTCAAAATATTTCTCACATCTTCTGTGCTGTTCGTAGAATCGTTCAAGGAGATGGTTATTTTTATTGGTAAAGGTTTTAGAGATCTACGCGATTCTTTGAAAACATTAAGTATAAATCTTGACCTTCCTATAATTAGAAACAGGTCGTTCACTTGAATTTATTTTTCGTGATATGTTTCTCTAGAATTTAGAAACATTTAATTTTGTCAATACGTTACTTTTTAGTTCGTTTTCTGAAATTACAGTTATAGCGCGTATCATTAAACAAATATTGAAATAATTTAGAAATTGAGCACATCAGATGAGCATAGAAATTATTAGGTAAGTCGTCGTGGCCTTTTTTTTGAAATCGCCGGACTTCCGCCCTCCCCTGGGGATGAAGGGCGGAGCATGTCAGAGTCGAACTGACTAAAACCTCCTGTCGCTCAACAACCAACGTCCAAACCTCGCATGAGACAGAACCCATGAAAAGGCAAAGGGGGGAAAGTGAAGCGTTTAGTGCGGAGCACATCTCTCCCATCACCCTCCCCCTCGGGACGCCGGACNATGAGCATCGATAGGTGGCACTCTCCGGGGCCTGTGGAACCACATGGCCTCGGATTTACTGAGTGCCACGTCGAGGCCCAATCTCCTGATTTTGCCGACGACATGCGCCACCCCAACGGTAGCAAGACGGGCAGACTCAGCAAAACTCCCCCCCCGGGCCACGACCAACGTGTCGTCTGCGTAGCAGATTACACTCAGGCCCGGGAGAAGTCGTCGTGGCCTAAAGGATAAGACGTCCTTTGCATTCGTATCTAGCGATGCACCGGTGTTCGAATCCCGCAGACGGGTACCAATTTTTCTAATGAATTACGTACTCAACAAATGTTCACGATTGACTTCCACGATGAAGGAATAACATCGTGTAATAAAAATCAAACCCACAAAATTATAATTTGCGTCATTACTGGTGGTAGGACCTCTTGTGAGTCCGCACGGGTAGGTACCACCGCCCTGCCTATTTCTGCCGTGAAGCAGTAATGCGTTTCGGTTTGAAGGGTGGCGCAGCCGTTGTAACTATACTGATACCTTAGAACTTATATCTCAAGGTGGGTGGCGCATTTACGTCGTAGATGTCTATGGGCTCCAGTAACCACTTAACACCAGGTGGGCTGTGAGCTCGTCCACACATCTAAGCAATAAAAACATTAATATTTTGTCTTTTGACTGAACGTTGAGCATCTACCTATATATGTTTCCACTAATCTCGTTGCTACCATTTTCAGAGCTCTTTGTCATGTGCTTGTTCAAGTTGAGTTTCAGAGTTTTAAGAGTTCTGTGAGGCCTTTTTCACTGGGCTGTGTATTTCCCAATGTCCAGCGGGTGGGTAGTACGCTCATGTGTCTTCGCAGACATACAACACCTGTATATGTTCCTATGCCTAATCTTCAATGCTAGTGGTAGTTGTGGCGTGTTGGGCCAGTACGGGTTGCGACGATCATCCTGGATTCTCGAGGGGCGAAAGGCTTTACAAGAGACCCATTGAATGTTTAAAATTTGGAAA